AGAGATAATGAACTCTTTATTATTTTCTACGTATTTTCTGCTAGGATTAGGATTAGACTGATTAGACTAAAAATTTGACAACTAAATTTTATTTTGGGGGATATCCCTTCTTCTCCTCAAGGGCCACACACCCCTCTTTTCTTTTTCTTTTTTTCTTATATTTTTCATGAATAAATGGGAGGAGACTCCATGTTTATGGAGAATTATTTTTTTTTTTTTTTACCAGCCAAATGATTATTATTGATTTGGATATTCATTAACTGAATTTTCTATTCTCTATTCTCTTTTATCCGTATGTCTTTTGTGTTTATTATCAATTGTTATTTTGGTTGATTGATACAAAAAGAGTTCTTTGTTCAATTATCGGTATAGCATATCGCCATCTAGGGCATTAAATATGTAATGGTTGATTGTTCTAATATTGGTGGCAAACCAAGTTGATTACTAAGGGTTTTCGGTTTTATGTTTACGGAGATTTATGATCTAGTTTAAATGATCCTGCACGTGTGTTTGTTGGCTTCTAAGTATTAATGCAATTGATAGATTAAATCCTATGATCGTATCTAGAGTTATCTATTGAATAGAGAAATAATTAGAGATCGTATCCTGATTATTGAACAAATAAGAAAAGATAGGTTGTTAGGTCGTCCCAATAACCATAACCAGTTTAATCGAGAGCAGGAGAATTATCTTTAGATTCGTGATCGAATCATTGAAACATTTCTATAATCTTTTCCTTTTGGTTGGATATTTTATCTATATTGAATCACTCGTTTTGATTTCATCTCTAGTTAGATTTTATTTAGTTTTCGTTTTCGCAGTTAGATAATATCGACCCCCCCCCCCCATCGTTTTTATTTTTATTTCTTTCATGAATAGTTGCACCAATAATACTCTAGGTCTAGCCCATCCATGTGGATACGACCCTGCCTTGCACTACTACGGTTATTTTAGAAGCAGGATTTTATTATTGTTGGATTCGACACCCATCATTGATGTAGCTGCATTCGTAGGTCGTGAATTAGGCGACGTCCTGTGGCAGGGGCAATGCAAGCAAAGCATGCGGGCGATGTATTTGGTCGATGCACGAGATGCATGCTGGCTATGGCGATTGATGTCTGCGGGCGACAGGGGCAATGTGTGCTGGCGACCATGAGCAATGTCTGCGAGCGACTCCTGCGAGCGACGTCAGGTGCTGGCTTGAGGTTTTACCTCAGCGATGTGCACGAGGTTCGCTCCTCTGAATCTCACTTGAATATAAGTTACTCAGATTCGTCTCATGTTCTTGGGATTATTGGCTCGATTCTTCATTAACAAATTTTGACCGACGGACCTAAAAATACCGATAGAAACGGAAAAGTACGAACAATACAAAAACACCGTACAAAAGTAAAAAACATACAAAATGAACTAAAATAGACCGGATGAATATGAAAATTGAGCCCAATTACACTTGACTCACCACATAAATTACACAAAAATAAGCCAAAAAACATACAAAATAATGGCCCATATCTTTAATATTCTCTTTCATTCTAAGTTAGTAATTCATTATCATCCTTCAGCAGCGCAAAGATCCTTACATGCGTGTTCCTTTCGAAACAAGAAAGTATATTATATATAAAATTTACGATAATATACAACAATAAAAATGTAAGAAAATTTAATAAATAAATCAATCGTTTTTGTTAAAACATAAGGAAACTTTATTATGTTAAACTTAAAACACAAGGAAACTTTATTTGGTCTTGCTTCATTTTCAAATGTCCTACAAGGTTACAAGGAATATAATTAAATAAACAAAAAGTTATTCGACCTATGCCAATTTAAAATCTTAACAATTACATCAATTATTTTTGTAGTTAATGATTTTTTAAATAAATATTTGTTACTTAAATATTCTAAAATATTTAAAAAAAAAATCAAAAAATTAAATAATGGTCCAACTACTTGTTTGATCAGTGAACCATGAAACTTGTAGCTCAATCGATTCGATAACCATCCGATTTAGAAAATTTTATGAGGTCTCATTGATGCTTCTTCTTCAGTAGTATAAACTCGGGCTTGCATGGCCTCTTTTTACAGACCTCCCAATGTTTAATACTCTCTTCTTTTCAAAATAAGTGTCGTTTTGACTTTTTTTATTCATCCATTTTGCTATGTATCTAGACATAATGGATGAATCAAAAAAGTCAAAACGACACTTGTTTTAAAAATGAGGTAGTATTATTTTTGTTCAAAGAATCAAATGATTAGGACACCCAAGGGCAGTTCCATAATTTCTTTCTGAGTGGACTAGAATTATAATTTGAAATAATTTATTTGCGAATATAACTTGAATTGACCGTGAAAACTCGAGCAATTAATTTAATTTGATTATTAAATGAATCGAGATCAAGCTCACATTTATTAGACACATATATAAGACGAACAGAATGACAATTTACCAACAATCCGAGTTTTTCAAAATCATTTACAATGAAATGATGAACCCATATATAGTAATGTAATGTAGGCCAAAATAGCATATTTTTCATCTAAAAAGGGACTAAAGAGACTCATGGGCATGGAACAAGAAAGCTCGAATTTGGTTAATTACCAGCACTCCATACTAACGTTATTCAAAGTTTTATTTACCTATTTTATTGGTCAAATTATGTTAGCCCAAATAATTGATCAGTAGTTTCTAACTACCGATCAAAATACTATGGTTGGATTTTCTTACACATTAAAAATTGGCCGTGTAAGTAGGGCTGAGCATGGGACTCGGAGAATTTCGAATCGTTCTGAAAACCAAACCGAAATCATTCCGAACCGAAAAATAACCGTTGACCTTTTGACTTTCTCCGAATTGAACCGAACCGAAAAAACAATTGGTACGGTTCTGGAGATTTCACAAATATCTGCACCGAGAACCGAACCGAACCGTCCCGTACTGTACCGAACCGAAGAACCGAAATTAAGAACCGAATTATAACATTAGATGTGTTATTAATATATTATATGTCAATTTTGATTCTATATAATATATTAATAAATATTAACCTTCACTTAAATTTCATTTTTAGTAATACTTGATCTACAATTGAATTTTTTCTATTATAAAATACTTATTTAAAATAATATGAAAGTTTAAACAATAATTTTTTAAGAAAAATAATATTATATTTTATTTGAGTTTTAAATTTTCAATATTAGTTGCACAAATTTAGTTATAACTAAAATTTGGAGTTAATTTTAAAATTGATTTCAAAATAAAATCTTTAATGTTAAAAAATACTGATGAATGTTAGTTTTATTAATGCATATAAAAATTAAATAACTCATATTTAGAGTTACTTCTAGAATAGATTTTAAAATAAAATATTCAATATGATGAATTATTGATGAATGTTGTTTTTTTAAAGTATATAAAAATTAAAATATAAGTAGGTAGTCATTCAAAAATAATTTAAAAAATATAAAAGCTCCGAAGATCCGAACAAAACCATACCAAATCGAACCGTCCCAATAGTCCCGAATACTGAACCGAACCGAACCGAAAAATAAAAATCTCCGAATCGAACCGAACCGACTTTTTGGTACGGTTCCGGAGATTGAATTTTGGGATCTCCGAAATTTGGTACGGTTCTGGAGATTTATCAATCTCCGAACCATACCGACCCACGCTGACCCCTACCTGTAAGCTTTCAAATGATATTTCCCGATCAAAAATTAGATATTTTGATTATCAGGTGAATTAAAATTTTTTCTATACACACATGATCCTACTATCTTCAAAGATTGCTTACAACCGTGTCGATTTTCATCGATAAACTATACCTCATTTTATAAATCTCGTCACGGGCTATAAAAGCCATAAATAAATTTAAAATTTACCGTTAATTGTTTTAAAAAAAATTTGTGCCCTATTAAAATTATCAATCGAAAACAAGTTTTCAATTAAAAAGTACCAAGGCAAATTCTAATAATCCACATAGATTAGGAGGTTCAATTTTTTTTTTCCCCTAATATTTAATTGTTTTCGGCCGAGTTAGTTCTGATTCTTGGCAGCATTCCAATTCCAATATAATTAAAGGAGAAAAAGAAAGACCAAACAAAATTCATCAAAATTACAACGGGCTGTAAAGAGTCGCTTGGCATGGCCCGAAGCCCACCTCTTTCCACGTGGCACGCAGCTGTTAATTTCATCTCGTCACAGCACCTTCCTAACTTTCAAAAGTCCAACCATTCACGCCAAGAAACTGCCCCCTTTTTTCCCCATTTTACCTAATTATGAAGCTCGAAACTCGAATCTTGGCAAGGCATATGCCCCAGTGGGGCAAATCTCCGTATATTTAATCCTTCGGTTTTGCTATAAAGCCAATAGTTGGCTCCGTGACAGAGTAACGACTAGTATCAAAATTAATCAACAAGAAGACAAGTGAATGTGCACTTCCTACATTGTACCTGAACAGAGAAATCAGAGCGAGATAACGTAAATTATTAGCCGTCTCTTTGTATTGTTGGTGAATAGTGGAGAACAACGCCACCACCAATAATTATCCCTCCTGTCTTCTAAAAAATTTACAGTTGGGATTTTCGATCATGATAAGGTTGGGATTATCGTTGTTGTCTCCGAAAGATTGCGGTGAGATTTTTGTCAAGCTTTTTTTTTTTTCTTTTTTTAATGTTTTTTTTTCTGGGCAGAAACAGCTTTTTGTTTGTTTATTCATTTCATTGTTTGTTTTCTTTCAATTTTTGGCTTCAGGGAAGATGAAAGGTGGAAGATTGAAAGGAAAGTAAAGTAAATATTCCAATTTTGATTCGATCCCAATTCAAGAATTCAAAAAGGGTACCTCAGAAAGCTGAATCCCACAAATGTAAGCCCCCCATTTGAGTTTCTTGGTAAAATTATGTTCTTTTGGCCCTGAAAATCACATATTCTTGTATTATTTCATTCACATAATTAACAATAATTCCCAAAAGAAAAGAAAAAAAGAAGAAGGGATTATTGTCCAATGGCCAATAGCTGTGAAAAGGCAACCCCAGTGGAGGCCCCAAATGGAATTATTAAGCCCAAAGGGAAGCACTACTACACAATGTGGCGAACCTTGTTCGAAATCGATGTTCGATACGTCCCCATAAAGCCGATAGGCAGAGGGGCGTACGGCGTGGTTTGCTCGTCGGTCGATA